CCCCAAAACCCCAAAACCCCAAAACCCCAAAACCCCTTTATCCAGTATTTATAGAATTTTTAAATCATAATGGAAGAGGGAGAACCAAGTCAGAATCTCTTAGCAGAAGGTGGCATCAAAGATGCTGGTGTAAGTCTTGATAGTGGGTTTCTATTAGGGAAATAATTAAGAATATGATGCTTTTAGAAAGATTGTCAGGAAATATGGCTAGTAGTTTTCTTGAAGAATGTTAGAATCCTGAAAATTTATCGTAGCCGCAGTTGGATAAGAGAGTTGATCCTTGGAGCATAGAACTTAGGAATGAGATTAGTTTAGTTTAGATTTTAAGGAAAGAACAACAATGGGGAGAGAAGCAATTTTTGTATTAGAAATAAAAAATGAGGCTTTGTTTAATCTTAAGTAAAAATGTTAAAACTTCAATAAAACAAAATCTTTCATTCATACCTAATAAGCACCCTATTACTCAAATATCTCCCTCTATCTACTCCTTTGCCTCATAGCACTCCAAATTGTCTAGCCTCTCAAAAGTATTTTCCACTAAATCTCCACTTGTTTCTGATTTTTCAGATATGTACGTTTTCATTTTGACTCAAAACCAACTGTATCAGATACCAAGTTCACTAAGATTTTTATCAACCTCCAAATCTCTCTGATCGTATTCCTAGTATCTTTTTAGATATTTTAGAGGAAGATCTGTGCCGAGGGTATGCCCATTTCCAGTTTGAGATCGGCCTTGTAGCAGTCCTACAAAATAAAGCATGCTAAATGTTTTAATGAAGCATTCATTTTTATTGTCTAGCGAGTTTACATAGATTTCCAGTCGATATTTTAATCGCTTTGAGAAAAACTAGTTAAAGAGCTCTAATAATAGAGATGATATTTCTTGAAATTTACCATTTATAAGGCATCAACTATCTCTCGATAATAAACTGCTTCGAACTTTTTCAAAAGTTTAGAGATCCTAACGTATCTTTAGAGTTTAAAGGATAAGATTGCTCAAAAGAAGAAGGAAATGCAAAAGACTATTCCCAAAGAAGTAGCTCCTGACATGTGCCCTGCTCATAATAGAAAGCTTGAAGTTATATGCTATGACTGTAGAATAAGGATCTGCACAAATTGAGCTCTTTTCGGAATCCACAAAAGCCATGATATCAGAGAGGAGCAAGAGCTCCTCCAAGAGATTACTCTGAGAGCTGAACTCCTTCTTGATATTTACCAGCTTATTGAGCAGAACAGGAGCAACCTTGGAGACCAAAACGATGTAGATGAGCTCTACAACCAATTCATGGTGAAGCAGATTTCATTGAAGAAGGATGTCACTAATAAATTCAAGGAGATAAATAATGAATTACTCAGAAAAGAAAGAAACATCATGGATGTTCTAGAAAGAAACTTTGATTCTATTGAAAAGACATTTGAAGAAATTAAGAATGGACCCAAGAAAGTCGTCCAAATAGCAGATAAATGGTGAGTAGAAGTACAAGAGAAAATGGAGAAATTCCAGAACCAGACTGAAGCGAACTCTAGTGACCAAGAATACATTGCCTTTGAGATGCTGGAAGATGTAGACCAAGAAAATGATATTATTAGAGTTGGAGAAAAAGTCTTAGCAGATTTAGATAAGCAGATTCAGCCTCCTATCCCTCAATTAGAAGAAAAGCTCAAAAAGTTGACAGTTCAGTTTGATGAACATTTCATTAATAAGCTTGAAATGGTGTGACATGTACCAGATCTATCAAATGATGATGGTGAAACATATGTAGCTCCACCTCCTTCAGAAGACCTCAAATCATTTGAGCTAAAGACAAAGCAAAAGGCTGAGGGAGTTCCAAAAGCGTCTACTGGCATAACTTTAAAACCAGCAGTATCAAATAAAGAGTCTCATGAAAATAACCTTCTGGCTGATGACGACGATAATCTTTTTACTACTTTTGATATTAGTGCTAAAGTTGAAAACGATGATAACCTAATTCCAAAGGAGCATGACGACAGTATTAATTTCTTGGATGATATACCTGACCCTATCAGTGCAAACCGTCCTCAAGATGTAGAACCAGGAGACACAGATGCAGCATATGACATTATCTCAGATGTTTTAGAAAACCAAAAAGGTACCTTGGATCTTTCGAATAGAAGACTTGGTGATGACTTTTTCATATCGATGATAGACTCCATCATTGATTTTGCAGATGGTGAACCCTTGAGTGTCATCAATCTCAACTTTTCTAATAATGATATCTCAGACTTTGGATGAGAGAAAATTTGAGAGTTTCTCATTGTGCATAATGATGCTGCAGTTGCTCATATTTCTAACGTTAATCTCTCATATAATAACATCAAAGACAAATCAGTTGAAATAATAGAGACGCTTTGTGCTGAGCATCCAAATCTAAAAGTGTTGAATCTTAGCGAGAATAAGTTCGAGTCAAGTTCCCTGAAGAGCAAATTCAGCAATGCACAGAATATCAATGTTATTTTGTAATCCAAGTTGCGCAATGATAAATCCTTTCCAAATTATATATTCATTTTTCACGCTAACTAGGGGTTTTGGGGTTTTGGGGTTTTGGGGTTTTGGGG